TTGAAATTTAATTGATTTTCAAAAATAACTTCTTAAAATACCTATTCCTGTTAACTGTACACATACCTACCACTATTTTAAAAACATAAAATTTATCATGTATATAAACTTACGAAGAAATAGAATGTTTACGAAGGATTTGAAGTCCAAAACTATGTATTTAAAGGCTTCTGGTGAACACTGAAGTGTCACTCGCAGAAGTCAGATAAGATAAGAACAGTTACAAAAGATGTTGTAATGCCGAATGGGGGACGACAGAATTTACATTTAGGCTCACAAGTAAACTTATTGTACAGTAGACTATGAAGTTTCCTTCAATAGCTACACGAACATTTTTATTGTTTGTATTTCTAAGTAAATACAAACAAATCATCAAGAGAGAACTTCCCTATTTCGTAATCGTAAGTTATCCTCTTATAGGTGGTTTCATTTAGAAAATTTCTCTTCACTATTTGATACATGGTGGCTCACAGCTTTTTTATGCAGTAAATTTTTAAGTGAGGTTTTATTTATTTGCAATTATATTATTTGTTTTTGTTATTAGTATAGAAAAAAATTTTTAGGAGTCAATCTTAGAGGTTCGGGAGGGGATTTCGAATATGCTAAGTATTAGTGCTGGTGGTGTTTTAGCTTTTTTCGTCTGATTTGGATTTCTGAACGATCACATCTAGGAAGTGGCTATAATTTGGAAAACATGGTTCCAATATTTTGATCAAGAGAACGGTGCAAAATTTGGACACCTAAATGTTACTTTTTGCGTATTTCACCATATTTCGAGAATTTTTTAAGCGAATTAAAAATTTTTGCTCACAATTATAAAACTTGTTTATCCAAAGATAATTTATATAAAATATACCTTTTCGTAAATATTTATAATTTTTTTTTGTTATTTTATTTAATAATAATCAATAAAAAGTTTTGAAGTGTGAGGCATACATTTTTTTACATAATTTTTAAGGAATGCAATTTTGAATTGAAAGAATACAAAATTTGACTGAAGTCGATCAAACAGTTCCTGTAAAATCGAATTTCGAAAAAGTTGTATTTTTAAGTTTGATTTCCAGGAAGTTCAATTATTCGACAGATTTCGCTCAAATTTTTTTTATTTTGTTGAATAAAAGTTCATTTTTTAATTTGTATTCGTAACAGTTCAAATTTTTTTCGACTATTAGTAAAAAATAATAAACATTTACAAAAAATTAACTGAAAATTATATTTTTCATCTCTTCTTAGCCACGACAAGCAACGATTACAGATTATCAGGATTACATGTATTCAAAATATGGTTACAGGTAAACACGATTACATGCAATTCTGATTTTTATGATGATATTTTATTTAAAAAACAAATATATTCCCATTTTCTTATTGCGGTTGTGACAATCATTTTTTTGTGGAACGGTTTTATTTGCGGATCGTCTTTTGCGACACTCAAAATTCTGAAGAGGACTTATATCATTATATATTTATTTTATATTCTGGATTAATGTCGGGTACCCCCGCCCACTGTCAATTTCATATGTATAGAATATTTTTTCAAGTCAATGGGCCATCGGACATTAATTGTTATATTGAAAAAAGATTATTTTCAAAGTTTCAAGTATTTATGCAGCTAGTAACATGATAAACAATAGTTTTGAAAATATGTTGAATACAGTAGTCATGAAAATAACCCGTTTTGTCCCGAATTTATAAACTGAAATGATACAAAAAGTGGTTTTATGGAAAAAGTGGTATAATATATTATCGAAATTAATTGGTTTTTCTACTGTTCAGGCATTCAAAAAGTCTTTCATAGATCAAAAAGTACTTACTCATTACTTATATGTGTTGGTTATCTTAGCATCAGCCCCGCTAGGGGCTCCAACTAATTCATCTGAGTGGAAATAAAAAATAAATCGCCGAAGCGCAACTGAAAGGTGAAAGCAAAAAGTACTTGCTCCTTGTCGTGACTATTTAAGGGATAATATAAATATATCCAATAGATAAAATTTATATTAAACAAAACCCGAGTTCGGTCAGATTAGGATTGAAGCAATGTGTCTAAGAAACTAGAGAAGACAATCAATAACCATTAAATTTAAAAAAAATAGAATTTTATTTAATACGATATTAGCTATTATTAATAACACGAATCTAGTATATTTACCAGGAGGTATTGAAAATGAGGTGAGGCAATGAGGAGGAGGCCTAGAAAATTGACAAGAGAAAAACAATATTTAAAACATATTCTCACCATCTTCTGCGGGGNACAGTCAAAAAACATAATTTTTGTAACTGTGCGGGGACACCCGACACATTTTGAAAAGAGCTGAAAAACATGTTTTTTTAAATTTCAGTTTTTTTGAGTTAAACTATTCTTTTTTTGTTTTTGTTTACTATTTTTGCATTGTTTAATTAGATGATAAAACAATAGAAACATGGAGAAATATTGATTGTTGTTCAATATTATTCGGAAATATAAGCAATACTCCTTAAGTGGGCGGGTTCCCCTACTTAATATTTACAAATATTTAAGTAACTTAAAAACAAATCCAGCTTTTATTTCTGGAGTCCCATTGCTCCATTTTGCTTCATCTACACTCTATCAGCATCAGGTTCATAATGAATCTCATTTCTCACCCAGGAATAGGGGAACAACACTTCTCGAGTCCCTCACTCACTGACCTTCAGGTCACTCAGATGCTCAGGAGTGGATTCAGAATCCTGACAGTGGTCAAAATGACCGTAATGGTCATTCTAGTGTTAATATGGTTCGAAATACTTTGCAAACGCTTTTAAGAGTAAAATCACCCAAGAAAGCATCATTTTAATTTTTTACTCTGAACAATTTAAACTTAAATTGATGCCTATTTTTTTCGATAATAGAATGCAAAATTTAAAAAGAAAAAAAAATACAAAATAAATCCGAGGATAACAGCATCAATTACATTTTAAAATAAACATAAAATGAAAATAAATAAAAACGCCTCACCTGATGACTTCAAATGTTTTGTTTTTCCCGATTAAGTTATGTAATATATGTCACTGTTACGCTTTCTTTTTGTCAAAAACTGTCACAATTTCAGAAATCCTTGATCTCACTTTCATTTGTGAACTGTCTCTCAAAGTATAAATAATAAGCTAAGTAGATAACTGTTCTGAGTGACATTTTTTATTTAAAAAAATTAGGTTTCTAAGCGAAAAGTCTTATTTTAATATTATTTAACAATTCACCGTTGATTTATTTGACTAAGTCATTAAATTTTGGAAAACTCATCAGATGATGTCACAGTCATTGAGTGTTTTTAAAGTGGAAGAATGTTTCAAGTGCATTTAGCAACAGACACATGACGAGTAACCTTAAACCTAAGCCTATTTTTTGTGCGTGAATTGAAATTCTACATGTGCACACAAGGCAGCGTCATGTAAACAGTGTAAATAAGTGCGAAGGTTTAATATATTTTACCTCAAAGCAGGTTGCGGACAAGAAATAAACTTAGTTTTTGACGATTAAGTTTACAAAAAAGGTTTTCTTCATCAAAAAATATCGTGTGAAACTATAAAAAAATATCTTGTGGATACTTAGCTGAACATTTTTTTTCTTCAATAAATTGAAATTAAATAATTAAATTGAAAACAACTATAAAAATATAACTATGTACAACTCTTTTAATAATTTCTTAATTATTAAACAGATTTTCAGGATTTATCGGGTTTATAAAGCTTTCTTAATATAAACTGCTTTGTATATAATTTTACATAAGCACCCACATTTACATAAGCACCAGAAGTAACCCACATTTGCTTTATATGGAGAGGGAAACCACGAAAAACTCCCACAGTTAGCCTGGTGGCAAGGGGACTCTAACCCATGATCCGTCTACCACTGAGGATATTTTGCGTCAGCACTGTGGTTGGTGCAAGCAGGTTGCTGAATTCGTATCTACCAGCTATGGCTGGGAATTGAACCCAGTTTACCTCATTGGAAGGTGAACGCTCTATCCCTTGAACCATCACGGCTCTATTATTATTTCCAATGCCCACCCGTGTTAACGTTTCGTCAATTCAGGAATTTACAGGGCATATTTGTTGGCCGCTCTTTCAGGGTTACCATGTTAGGTGCGCTAAAACTGCTCCGACAGTACAGAGAATGAAAGAACATCCATGCCTTGCCCAGAATTCGAACCCAGAACCTCTCGGATGCAAGGCCAGTTCCCTGATCTCTACACAGTCCGATCGGCAGAACCAAATCATAATCTAGTTTAATACGTTGTTTTGTTTCCGTCTCGAGATAGTGGATGATATCTACTATCCAATTGCGCTTCTGAAAATCAAGTACTTGAAACCCTAATCCAAATTAGTTTCGTTCTGAAGCGAAACTTTTTCAAGTGATGATATTTTGCATTTATGTAAAATAATTCACCAACTCGTCGCCAGTGTGCTGTTCCACAGCATGGAGGTTTTAGGAATTAACACTCTTATATATAACAAGCACAATTTATTAATAATTTACAATTAATATCAGTCACCCCAGAGATTCCTGAATACACACTGTTTATTTTTTTAAAACTTGTCTGTAATAATTTCACGATGAATGGGATATGGGTATTCTGCGCGGCCCAAGTACCCAGCTTTTGTCAATTAAAATAAAAAAATAATAATTGAAAGCATTTAAAATTTAGAATACAGAAGATGCCTCTTAACGCAACACTAAGCAGGTGAGAAAGAAATCTAAACTGAAACTTAGAAAGTCTAGATTCGATTGCGCCCAGCTTTTGCCAATTAAAATTAAAAAAAATAATAATTTAAAGCATTCAAAATTTAGAATACAAAAGATGTGTCTTAACGCAACACTAAGCAGGTGAGAAAGAAATCTAGACTGAAACTTAGAAAGTCTAGATTCGATTGCGCATGCGTGATGTGACAGGAAACGATAAGATAATCCTTATCATTTAAAAAGAAATAAATCATTGCTGCTGCTGAGAAAGCTCAAGTCTTGTATAATTTCCAGCTTAGCAATGCTTCGTGTTGTGCAAGATAAAAATCTTTTCATTGTGTATTCGAACCTATTCTTGTATTTTGAATGGATACTCGACGAGTCAGATTTAAAAAAAACCATCATTCTGCGAAGCCCTGACTTTAATATTGGAGGTGAAGGAGCATCTTACCTTGAAGTAAGTGTTAGCAGTTTTCACTCAATACTTCTTAATTTCTATAATCTGGAACCCCTTGGAAATGGAAGTTGTGTACTCATCATATATGACAAGCATAATTCCCACTTAAAGAGTATCATCAAAGAATCAAAAGATTTCCTAAGAGGTAAAGTTCAAATCGATTTGTTTGGAGGCATTTTGATTTTGCCATCGAATGCAGAATATCCTATCACGATCAATTGCACTGCAAGGTCATCGACTACTGATCTTTTAATGGAGTCGTGCGTTTATCGTGAGACTAGAATGAATAATCTTTCTTCGGATTTAACGAAAATTCTGGAACAATCCTACAACACAGACGTAGAACTGGTGGGCACGGGTGGCGCGAGCATCAAAGCACACAAGATTATTTTACAAGCTTGTTCTCCGGTGTTTCAGAAAACGTTCGAACATGATTCCAGGGAAGCTTCTACCAATGCAGTTGATATTTCGGACATTACGCTAGCTACAATGAAGAGACTGGTCAAGTTTTTGTACTCGGGTAGAATGGAAAAGTGCAATTTTGATGAACTTGTGCAGCTGTACTACGCTGCTGATAAATACGAAGTTATGTCCCTTCTGGAAGATTGCAGAGCTGAACTGCTGAGTTATCTTAACATAAACAACGCCTGTTTCCTGTTATTTTTAGCGAATCGCCATAATGATAGTGTTTTCCAGGAGAAAGTTGTGCAGTTTGTAAGTGCTAATTTTATGTCTGTCATTAAAATGGATTCGTTTTTGGAATTGAATGATGAAAATGTAGGATTACTAATGCGTTTGTGTGTTCCTGCCATAAAAAAGTAATGTTTCCAGAGATTCCTAATTGATAATAATGAACATTTTGAGTTTTCAAGTTAGGGATTCTCAAACATTAGAAATTTTGTGAATAATTTTAAATCATATTATTAAAAATATAGTATTGTGAATATTTATTTTTATTGAAATTATTATATTTGAATAAAATTTTTGGTTTATCAAGATTTAATTGGCTGAAAGTACAATATTTTGCTTCCTGTTTGTTTAATTCTGATACGAATAAATTATATTTAATTAGTTTTATCAGGCGAACAAGGCGCAAAATAATTTTAAAAAATCGAATCTTTTTTTTTCTTTCTTTGCTTTTTCTCTCATTTTTAGTTTTAGTCTTAGTGTTATTCTCCCAGATAGGAGGCGGAGGTGCGAAATAGTAAGTCTCATCAGAGAGACTATGAAAAATTATTATTTTACATTGGTTTTTTTCATAAAGAAGAATGCAATTAATATTCTTTTACGTGTAAATTTGGTAACAAGGAATTTCAGGCATAAATCTTGAGCATATATGGCAACATTACTTTTAAAAAGTAGCGAGTAAAAGTACAAGTATTTTTAAAAAAACTAACCAGCAAAAAGTTTTTATTTTAAAAAGTAACGAGTGAAAAGTACAAGTAAAAGTACATGTACTAAACAAAAAAAGTAACGATTTAAAAGTACATTTCTAGGAAATTGAAAACTCAAACTAACCTAAAATTTTATTGAATAATATTCTTATGTTCTTTAATGTTTTTGCAAAATTGTTATTTATTTAATTATTTTTAATTTTGAAAGTTATGGACATTAATTTATTTTTAAATTCGGAAGAATATTATAATATAATTTTATAATATAATCGTATAATATAATTTTAAAATCAAATATAATTTTAATATCAAACTTTTTATGGATTTGCACGAAAAAGAAATTTTATCTATTGATTTTAATTTTTAGTTTATTATTTTTATTTATTTAAATTACCATTGATTTAAAATTGTTTTACTCTATAGAAACGCGTTTTAAAAGCACAAACATAAACAAAGCAAACACGGGGTTTCAGATAGCTTTGTGATCTTTGAGCTAGTAAAAAATAATTGAATGTGCAGTATAAGTTGAAACAGAACAGTCTACAGTTTTATTTGTAACAATGGCTAATGCTGAAGTCATGCGAGAAAATCATTTTCCGAACATTTCTGCCAAACGGAATAATTAAAATTTGTAAACGAATTTTAGTATCAGCGGCTAAATTAATACCTTCGAGTTTTCAAGAGTTAAAATAGTAATTATAATAGTTTTCAATAGCACAAATAGTTCTGAAGTTCTTAGAGATTTGACTGGGCGTTGTTTGACAAGGTCGGGAATAAACATAATTTTAGTAAAAAATGTACTAGGTAAATATGTATTTAGTAAAAAATTTATTAAAACAAAAATGTATTATTAGTGAGTTCAAAAAGAAAATTGAAAAACGTAATAACAAAATCCAACATTTTTTATTTAAAATGTATTAAATAAATGCATAAAACTCTGAAATGAATGAAAATAACTTGCTAATTAATATTTGTATTCACGTATTTTTATTCACGTAGTATTTAAACACGAAGTTAGCTGTGAATGCATAAATATTGCACATTAATTTTATAAATTAAGAAAACATAAGCATTTTTTTTAATTTAATTTTTTTTTTTTAGAAAGCTTACCGAGTTTTAGAAAAAAGTAACGATTTTATTCAACCTTTCCGTTACAAATACTTGTACTTTTTTCCTAAAAAAGTAACGAAAGTACAAGTAAAAGTACTAAATTAAAAAAGTAGCGAAGTACAAGTAAAAATAAGTACTTTTTACTTGTACCGGCGGTAAAAGTACTGCCATATATGATCTTGAGCCAGTTCCCAAGTTCTTGAATACGAAAATAATTGGGGGAATTGCGGAAATTGTTTTAAAAGATGTGATTTGGTATCTGAAAATTTGTAATCGGAGAACATTATTTGTGTAAAGTGTGTTAATTCTTTCAATGTATTACGCTGAATCGAATGTCACAAAAATCAAGTTTATAGAACTAAGAATTCAGATATAGGTAAGGAATTAGTAATGATGTATAAAAATTACGATTTCTTATTTTTAGCTTTTTACAAGTCTGAGACTCTTATCTCTACAAGTGAGATATTATTTCATGTGCAAATTGTTATATTGAAACAAATGAGAGCGAAGGAAGGTCGGTAGGAGAAATAATTAAATATTACAGCTTTTAACGATAAAAAAAAACATTCGTTGGTACTTATACCAGCATACACGTCTGAGATCGCTACGCTGACAAACAATATATTTATGCTTAATTGAATAAAGTCAAAAGCAAATTGAAATTATTATTAGTTTCGAATTCAGAAAGGGTCAGTTCAAAATTGTAGAATCACCCAATATTCAATGTTTGAATAATTTCCATTACAATAACGATTGCTTGTAATAGGCTTTTGCTTTTGATTTAGTATATTGAGAGGTACGGCATTTATTAAGAGGTATGCAGAACTGCCAACTTTCTATGCTTTTTGTTAACATTTATTCTAGTGGTAGCCAAGTTTATGTTTTAATGCACTGATTTTTTTTAATTTAAACTAATTTTATATATACAATTACATATAAATGATTTAAAAGTTCGTAAAACGGAGCCACTTTGTTCCAGCTCTCTCGTGGTAAAGCTTTAAAAATACAGGCAAAATCACCAAAAATTCTTTACGCTTTGTTTTTTAAATATTTACCAATCTATATAAAATATTTTTAAAAAAGCGTAGCTGTTGGCAGACATAGATATGACATTTCCATTTGAATGGGATTGTGTTGCCAGAATTTAAGATTAAAAAGTAGTGGATTCGAACTTTTTGTAGCCCCAAAGAATAATATAAATTCCAATGGATTGTGTGAAAAATTTCATCAAATTCAATATTTCGTTTCAACTCAGATTGAAGGTCACGTGATTTTTCCAGAAGATAAACGATCAATAATGTTTGTAGTTAAAGCTTTTTGCCCCATCTTATTCGCCGTGCATTTTTCCATATATATCTTTGCGATTTCACGAGGCTATGATTTGAAGCATAATACGGAGAGATTATAGACTCCGCGCAGCAAAACAAATCAGGAATCCAAAACTAAGGCATATTCGTTTTCAGGAAGAAAAAAAAACGTCCTTTTTAGAAAAGATGAAGAAACTGCAGAATTTCAGAGATGCCAACTGCTCCAGACACGCCAAAATAATTTACAAAACGGTAAATAACTGCAAAGTAAATTTTGCAAATATTTGACTACTTTTGCTTGCTTTTTAAAAGTTCCTCATGACTTTAATATTATAAAGGGGTGAATTATATAAGCCTACGAATTATTCAGAAATAGTGGTGGATAAAACTCCACTAAATTAAATTTATAAAATCTCAAATCACAATTGATAAACTACCACTTCAAAATATATATTTGCTGTCCGGAGCAAGTTGGCATCTCTGGACTTTTCAGAATCATTCTATAATGGGAAAGGAAAAAAAATTTTAAAAAGTATTTCTGTAAGAAAAAGCACATTTTTAAGATTTGTAGCGTTTGAAAATTAATGAGTAGTCCAAAAAGCAGCGGGTAGGAGAAATTCGATTTTCAATAGCGGGGACTTTTAAAACTAGCCCCATCCGTTACTTATAGCCCAATCTGGCATTGAGAAAATTAATGAATGATTAATTTGAAATTAGAAAGGATTGGATGAGTAATGAAAGAGTGGAGATATGAAACGGGAGAATAACGAAAGCAAACTAATGAGTGGAAGAATCAATAAAAAGGCAAATAATTGTAAAGGCCAATCAGTATTAAAAGTATACTACTATCAACCAATTAGTCGACATTTATCAACTAATTAATGTAATGTTTTCCTGTAAAAGGCGTGTCAATTTGCAAAAATTGAGTCTGTGAACTGGCTATCAGTTAATCGCAGTATTAGTGAAAGGGCATCAGTTGTGAATGAGTAAATAATTGAATGAACTGTTCAGCAAGCAGGCGAATAAGAGAATCAGTAAATTAGTGAAAGGACTAATCATCTTGCCCGGGATTCGAACCCAGAACCTTTCTGATGCAAGGACAGTTCCCTAGTTTCTGATGCAAGGACAGTAAAATCTAAAGAGTAGACAAAGTGGGCTCACATGCAAACTTAGTGTAGATTATGAAGTTTCATTCAATTGCTAAATAAAAGTTATTAAAATACAAACAAATCCTTAAAAGAGAACATAAGTTATCCTTTCAATAATTGCTTTCTTTTTGAAAATTTCTTTTCACTGTTCGAAACTTCATGGCTTACTCTAGGTTTGCTTCAACTCATCTTTTTTATGCTGCAAATTTTAAGTGGGGTTTTATTTATTTGCGATTATGTTATTTGGTTTTGTTACTTGTAATAGACAAGCGTCTTCAAGTTCTAGGAATCAATCTTAGAGGTTGACTTAGAAGGGGTTACTTCAAATCTGCTAATTAATTAGTGCTGACGGTATTTTAAGTTACGAAATCCGACACAAAAACGCTACTTTCTATGAATATACATAGCTCTTTTTTCCTCGGATTTGGATTTCTGAACGATCAAATATAGGAAGTAGCTACAACTTGGTAAATATGGTTCCAATATTTTAGTCAGGAGAGTGGTACGAAGTTTGGACACCTTAATGTTACTTTTTGCGTATTTCGCCTTAACTCGAACTTTAAAGCGAATTGAAAATTTTTGCGCACAATTATAAAATTTGATTATCCAAAGATAATTCCATGTAAAATATACCTCTTCGTAAATACTTATAATTTTTTTGTTACTTAATAATAATCAAAAAAAGATTTGAAGTGTGAGCAGACATTTTTTTTACATCATTTTTAAGGAATACAATTTTGAATTGAAAGAATACAAAATTTGAAGTCGGCCGAACAGTTCCTGTAAAATCAAATTTCGAGAAAGATGTTATTTTTAAATTTGATTTCCAGGAATTATTAGACTTCGCTCAATTTTTTTTTTAT